AATGGAAACAATTAGAATATCAACCTCGGTCATTTTCAGTTGCTGCTAAAATTCTGAAACTTGTGATGAAATTCCCTGCAAGCAGTATAGTAAGTCTTTTAATCCAGTCTTTCCAACATTGCAGAGTTTTATCAAATGAGCATCTCTGTGAAGAGTCATGATTTTCGGAAAAAATGCCAAAAAATCAAATTTGCTGTTTTGTTTTGCTTACTCAAAAGTCATAACTTTTCACAGAGATGCTCATTTGATACAAATTCTGCATTGTAGGAATAGACCAAAAGTCTTACTATACTGATTGCTGGGATTTCTATAGTAGATGTTAGATTTTTGGCAGCAACTCAAAATAATTTCTTCTCCATCTCAAAAGTTATCCCATAATAGAGAGCGGCAAAGGCATTACCACAAAGAAAAGAGTTTCCCCTATATGCTAAAATCAAGTTTGTGCAAATCCGTTGGAAGAACGAGAAGTTATGAATTCACAAATGATACGCAACAACTTTCGCATCGACCTAATATTTGGAACTCGGTTCAAATGTGTACTTACGCATCAAAGAGCTATTTTTGGAAAATGAAACTTCTGAAAGAAAATCTTCTTTTACCAAACTGAAATTGTCATACTATCATTTCGAAGAAAAAAATTGATTGAAGCCCTGAGACAATGCTTTTCACTCTTCTTCTTATTCTGATTGCTTCTATAAAAGAATTATCTGGCAGATTGGGCTTCGCTCAATTCTCGATTTTTTCTCTGTGACTTCCCAGCTTAGCGGTTCCGCTGTCTTTCTCCCTTCTTCACCCTACAATTTACATCTCTCATTCAAAAACATTTAGAATGACAAAAGCAATTGAAACCGCCGTTACCGCCGCGCATTTCCGGCACATTAGCAGAAAAACTGCAGAAAATCAGTCAGTAGAAGTAATCGATGACTCCCATTGAATCCGAAATTCGGCTCTGTGCCCCCTAACGTGCAGTTATCAATCAGTAAAAGTATAGGAATTTCAGTGATAAATATGGTCTCGTAATCAGCATGCTCACATACAATCTCATCTCTAGCTTCCTTCAAACTATTGATAAAAAAGAAGAAGAAAGAAAACGGCATTCAGATGATGTATAGGCGATTTATCGCACGCAAAGAAGGCGTCACTACGGACATTGTCGGCGTCTCGCTGAGCTACTGCTCTCTCATCCCTCTTACCGTCTGCTGTCTCTCCCTTGCGCGAACTATTTTAGTCGGGCGCAACGGCGTCCAGTCTGTGCGTGCGATGAATGGCGTCTACCTTATACCCAGTATTTCTCAAAACGTGTAAGGCTTGCTCGAGATGCGAAAGTCTTCAGTCAGATTGTAGAAATAAGCATAGGAACTTTCTGGTCCGACTTCTTCTCAATTTTGCACCATTTTTTAAAATCTTTTCCGTACTTTGCGTTCCTATGTTGACGTCTTAACACGCGACTATTCTCCATTCTGTAATTCGCTCAACAAACATCCATACTTTTCAGGAGTTCTCGGGTCCAGACATCAGTGTTCGAAGATGTCATCGAAGAAGAAAACGCCACGAACTTTGAAAATTAAGGGAAAGGGCAAAGTTCTCGTGCCGAAATGGAAACTTTTCCGTGCTAAGGTTTGCCATAAATCAAAATTTTGCTATTTCGACCATCGATTTTTTTTACAGGAGCCGCTGCTTTCTGTGTTTATGTGGGGAGTGAATCACTCCATAGGCCAGCTGGATCACGTGCCTCCACCGGGATTGCTTATGCCTGATGATTTCAAAGCGTATACCAAAGTGAAAATAGACAATCATTACTTCAACAAAGATATCATGCCTAGTCATTATAAGGTAATCCTAAACACCTT